GATTAGGTTGTGCTATTTCAGGAGATGATTGATTAGGTTGTGCTATTTCAGGAGATGATTGATTAGGTTGTGCTATTTCAGGAGATGATTGATTAGGTTGTGCTATTTCAGGAGATGATTGATTAGGTTGTTCTATTTCAGGAGATGATTGATTAGGTTGTGCTATTTCAGGAGATGATTGATTAGGTTGTGCTATTTCAGGAGATGATTGATTAGGTTGTGCTATTTCAGGAGATGATTGATTAGGTTGTGCTATTTCAGGAGATGATTGATGATTAGGTTGTGCTATTTCAGGAGATGATTGATGATTAGGTTGTGGTTGATTAGGTTGCACTGTAAGCCTATTGATTTTAGGGAATGTAAACCTAAACCTATTATTTTCAGGATAAGATGGGCTGGCTTGTAAAGGAGGAATTGATATGTCTGTAGTCCTTCTAGGGGACACCACTCTCTTCAAGTCTTTTATAAAGAGTGCGTCTTACATTCTCGGAAGAAAATCCCATGTTTATAACCACCTTTATTATACTACTTTTATTCATTAAATAGGTCATATCATCATCCGATAGATTTACTTGATAAATCTTCTGGGGCTTAACTGCTGAATTACTTTGTTTGTAAGGAGGAGTTTGATCTTGAACCTGAAAAGAAAGAAAAATAATTAGTGTTTGTTGGTTGGTTTTGTTATTTTAATAATTACTATTAAATATTACTTTTTAATTATATTTTACCTACCTTTTTAATAAAATCAGCCTCCGTGTTCAGTAATAAAAATTCACAACTTGAGGACCAACGTGCATGTACATTCCATGGTTCTTCATTTTTCTCCCAATTGTGAAGACCTACGCCACAAGAAAAGCATCGTACCATATCAAAAAAGCCAAAGTAATAAAAACCTGCTTTTGCTAAATCACAGATTGTCAGTCGTTGTTGTTGTATTTCTAGAGGCCAATCCTTTAGCCTCCGCTCAGTTTGAAAACTTTGCATTCTTGCTTCAAACGTATTACATCTGCAAGAATATGGTGTCGTCTCTTTCTTCTTTGTTTCTGGAATTGGAATTATCTGGTCTAAAATGCAACTCTGACCCAGGTTGATGTTTGCCGTTGGTTGATTTCTAACGAAGGGACAATGGCGAAAAAGTCTACAGTGTTCTATGAGGGGTTTATCATCCTTTTCCCAATCACCTATGACACCCCCACAAAAATAACAGGCGCAGAAATCCTTAATTCCGATATAAGAAAAACCTGCAGCTGCTAAATCTTCGGGAGATATCCACGAAGACAGGGGCCAGTCTACGAACGTATCAAGTCGTTCCTTTTCAAATGCAAATATACGGGAGTTATAGAATGTCTTGGACCGATTTAAAGTGCGCAAAAATATGCACTGGGGCCGTTTCTCCCTGTGAAAAGCTTCACTGTCGATAACGGCGGCGGCGGCGGTATCGATTTCCAACTTGCACTTAAAACATTTTATTTTATTCTCCTCCTGAGAAAAATATAACCCGGCTCTCGAAAGGGTCTCCACATCTACATTTATTAGTGGAGAATTGGTGGTCAAGAAAGTATTCTGGCCATCCTTTTTTTCAGAAAGACTCGCCTTTGATTGTTCCATTATTATTTACAGACAGCCAAAGGTTAAAGGTTTTAAAGGTTTTTATCTAGGAATGTGAACCTCGCCTCCCAGAACACTGCATCAATTTATACTATCCAGATCCAGAGTTGTCAAGTTGTAATATTTTATTATAAAATGGTGCAGGTCTCGAAGTTTATGTTGCGGAGGTTATGCTATTTCAAGAGATGATTTATTAGGTTGTGCTATTTCAGGAGATGATTGATTAGGTTGTGCCCCACTGAAGAAATACAATCATCTAGAGTATAAAAGGGGACACCACTCTCTTCAAGTCTTTTATAAAGAGTGCGTCTTACATTATCGGAAGGATATCCCATGTTTATAACCACCTTTATTATACTACTCTGGTTCATTAAATAGGTCATATCATCATCCGATAGATTTACTCGATAAATCTTCTGGGGCTTAACTGCTGAATTACTTTGTTTGTAAGGAGGAGTTTGATCTTGAACCTGAAAAGAAAAAAAAATAATTAGTGTTGGTTGTTTTGTTATTTTAATAATTACTATTAATAATAAATAATATTACTTTTAAATATATTTTACCCACCTTTTTAATAAAATCAGCCTCCTTGTTCAGTAATAAAAATTCACAACTTGAGGACCAACGTGCATGTACATTCCATGGTTCTTCATTTTCCTCCCAATTGTGAAGACCTACGCCACAAGAAAAGCATCGTACCATATCCAAAAAGCCAAAGTAATAAAAATCTGCTTTTGCTAAATCACAGATTGTCAGTCGTTGTTGTTGGATTTCTAGAGGCCAATCCTTTAGCCTCCGCTCAGTTTGAAAACTTTGCAGTCTTGCTTCCAACGTAATATATCTGCAAGAATATGGTGACGTCTCTTTCTTCTTTGTTTCTGGAATTGGAATTATCTGGTCTAAAATGCAACTCTGACCCAGGTTGATGTTTGCCGTTGGTTGATTTCTAACGAAGGGACAATGGCGAAAAAGTCTACAATGTTCTCCGAGGGGTGTATCATCCTTTTCCCAATCACCTATGACACCCCCGCAAAAATAACAGGCGTAGAGATCTTTATTTCTGAGATAATAAAAACCCGCAGCTGCTAAATCTTCGGGAGATATCCACAAAGACAGGGGCCAGTCTATGAATGTATCAAGTCGTTCCTTTTCAAATCTGAATACACGGGTGTTATAGAATGTCTTGGACCGATTTAAAGTGCGTAAAAATATGCACTGGGGCCGTTTCTCCCTGTGAAAAGCTTCACTGTCGATAACGGTGGCGACGGCAGTATCGATTTCCAACTTGCACTTAAAACATTTTATTTTATTCTCCTTCTGAGAAAAATAAAACCCGGCTCTCGAAAAGGTCTCCACATCTACATTTATTAGTGGAGAATTGGTGGTCAAAAAAGTATTCTGGCGATCCTTTTTTTCATAAAGACTCTGCCTTGATTGTTCCATTATTATTTAACGTGTGGTGTAACACCCTTGACCCCTGTGAGTTTATTGTGCCCGCCCAACACTTGGTACGTCACCTCGCCTCCCAGAACACTGAGTCCGTCAATTTATACTATCCAGATCCAGAGTTGTCAAGTTGTAATATTTTATGAAATGGTGCAGGTCTCGAAGTTTATGTTGTATAATTAATCGTATATAAATAAGTGTCGTTAGTCATCTACTACAGCCCCACAAAGCACCTACTAAGATATGGATATACACAATCACAATAAGGTAAACATCGGCACCACCGCACTGCATGACTCTAGTATACTCCCTCCTCAACACTACCACGGGTCTTTCACGTCTAATTCGCACATACCACAGTATCACATTTTGCTGTGTTGTTAGAGGATACACTTAACCATATTTGTGTAAAGCAGAAACCGCGAAAAAAACCTAAAATCCACGAAAACCTTACCAGATATTTTCTTCTTCAGAGTTTCCCGGCTGATCTGTGCCATGGACAAGAGGAGGAGAAAGAAAAAGGAGAAAAAAAAAGTTACTTTTGTATCTGAACCACAAGTACATTATTTAATTTTAGACCCATTTTCTAGAGAAGCTAGAATGGGGACTAACTGGATAAACAGAATACATTTTAAAAAACGGTGTGATGATACTTCGATAAAATTATCTGCTATTTTAACAGAGAGTCATCGAAAGAATGTATATGATAATAGATTTAAGTGATCATTATCACTCAGTTTGAATCCCCACCCACAAAAGTTTTGAAATACATTTTATTTTGAATTTGTAGTTTTTTTATACACCAATTATAAAAAACGAACGAAAAATAAAACCAATAAAAATTACTATAGTTTTTGAACGAGAAAATCTAAAAGATCTATAGTATTTTTTACCACACAACATGTATTTGAAAAACATTTTAATTTATTAGTATCTATATAGAGTCTAGCAGAGGGTGTTTTTGAATGTCCTCGTTTTTCGTGATATGGACAGTAAATGTTGCTTTTCCATTCATTACCAGCTGCCTCATTCTCCCAATAAGGTTCTTCTTTTAAAATCTTTTGACATTCTAGAGTAGCCATTTTCAATTTTTTTATATATTTATATACTGATGGGTATTTTTCTGAATGTGATTTTTTAAAACCTCTTTTTAAACACTTATATGACGACGACGACGACGACGACGAAGAGGATCTTGATCTTTTGGTTGGTGGTGGTCGACATGTATTCTTGCTAACCATAATTTCATATTCATATTCAATTTCACAATTTTTTTTTTTTTTTTTTTTCAATTGCAACTTTTATTTCTTCTGGGGATATATATCCACCGGTTTTACATTCTGTGAATATAAACGGAATTTCCTTATTCATTATGGAGTTAAATCAACAAAAAATATTAAATGAATGGAAAGATTATTATCAATTTATAGTAACATCTCAGTTTTTATATATACAAGATAAGCGGTATGCCACTTATTTTGAATCCCTCTTAAGGACATGGCCTTCTTTTGTAAAAAATTAAAAAGTTATAATTGTTCATCAACGAACCTCAGGTAATAAACAATGGTATTTATCCAAAGATAAAACTATATTGAATATATTTGACTCACCCTTCGAAATAAAATTCTCATCATCGATGATAAATGGAATAACAGTATATGGTAGTTCTGCTTTCGGTATTAAAAAAATACTTAATTCATTGATTGCAGGAATAAAAAAGGAAAATAAAAACATATATATTCAATGGGGTTTAAGTAATAACAATGATAGCCATAGTGATGATGATGATATGAACGATAACTAATATTTTTGAATGGGGTAGTAAGGATAAATATATATATATGGGGATATAAAATATAAAATCTATTATTGTCTATAGGTTCACTAGATGAAGATCTACCTACTTAAGTAACAGACAGAAGTAACAAGCTAATAGCTATTCAGCGATGACCACCAAGGAGAAGAATTTTAATATACCCTTTACTGGAAGTGATGTATTTGTAACTTTGAAGATAGTGTATAGTCAACTTGATGCAGCACACTCACATTCAAGTTTTGCCGAATCTACTAACAATAATAAAGTTTATCTCCGCCGCATGAATAAGAAGAATGTTGAAAATGTGAAAGAGCAGCAGCAAAGTAAGAAGAGAAAAGAAAAAAGATTCAACAAGGAGACAAGAACTAAAAAAACTTGTGTTGAGGATATAAATATTAATAAACACAATGTATTTTTTCTGTCAGAAAATGGATCCTTAGTTATGAACGAAGGACGAAAAAGTTACCAAAATTATTGTTATATTACAGAAATAACAATATATAATGCTTATAAGGAAAGAATACACCACTTAACCTCGAAAGTAGCCTTGACAACCAAGGAAATTTTGATTGCTATAATTACAGCAATTAAAGTTATTAATGATAATATAATATGCAGTAATATTAACTATACTCCAACTTATCTAGTAACTGGTTCACAATTAAATGTAGATATTCTCCACCGTATAATAACTAATGGCTTAACTATCCAATCATGGCAACGTAATAAAAATAATAACCCCCAGTATTATCTACACAACCACCACAGTGATAGTTGTTCAATTATTAATGAAAATAAAGAAGTGATGCCCAATGTAAATTTTGTAGGAGTAGGAGAAGCAACTGGAAAGATGCAGCAACGGGAAAAAATCATTCTGTGGGCGTTTACAAATACACTTTCTCATTTGTATGCCTTAGATCTGTTCAGCTCATCTATAGCTAAAAATGATAATATCTCTCGACGACAAAATGTATGGTGTACACTTAAAGATGTTTCATGTCTCAATATAGGCAGAGTAAAAAAGCACGCTTACCTTATCACCAATACATTTATTCAACCTGTAATCAATATATATTTGGATTCTTCAACATTATGCAATTTTGGATCTACTTTAACAACTTCATTTAATACAATTATGGATATGTATGTGTAATATTTGATGATTAATAAAAAAAAATTAATTGATTAACCCCATTAAAAATAAGCAACGGTCGTACGCACCGTTTTTAGAATTAAGGCCACACAATTCTTTCCAAAAAAATTTCCTGTTCGAGTGTATTACCTTGTGTAATATCTCTATTTAAAGTGGATACTATTTTAGCTTTAATTATAACTTTAGTACATCCTCTAATTTTATCCTCTGGATTAAGACACGGGTAACTACCAAGTGATTTTTCTGTTTTAGTATTACTACATTTAACCCAAATTGTAAGTGTATTGTTGTCTCTATCTAACTCTGGATCGGGACATGCCGTACATGGATTACTTTTATTCCCATTTATATTGGTATAAAATTGACCACATTCACAAGTTTTTGTTTCACGATTATATCCTAAAGCATCTGTAACGTGAGGAGGTATATGCGTTAAACACGGATCTTGGAAACACATGGATCTCGAAATTTCTGGGTTGGCCACATAGCCTTGTGCGCATTCACATTCAAACTCATGTTGTACCTCATAAAAATCATTAGGAATCATTGAGGCAATATCGACTACACTTCTTTCATTTTTTCCATCAATACCTATCAGTTTTCCATCAGGTTCGCAAACAATAAATGTGTTTCTATCCGCGTCATAGAAACCAGGTAATTTAGATTTACATTTCCATCTATCCTCTTCTTGGGAATACTGTAAATATCCCCACACGGAATTATATAAAGTTTTTGTTTCAAGGGGAGGTTCTTTCCATAAGCAATAGGTACACCCTCCAATTAATACTGTTCCACGTATTGTATACTGTGTAGAAGATTCTTGGGGAATTTTTACTATTTTAAGGT